GATCTAACGCACACACTCTCGACGCGAACCTGGCGCACGATGTTGTCATCGTGCATGATGGCGAGCTTAATTAAGCTGAAGATTAAATAGTAATTTAACTGAAGGTAACCTGAGTTAAAAGACGGTGAAGAGATGTGTGAGAGTTTAGCGGACTGCAACCGCTTGTGCGGATGACTTTCCATTTGTCAAGTAAACGACGGCGACTTGGCTTCGCTAGGACAGTCTGAGGGGGACTTCTGTCAGCGACTGCAAGCGCTTGTGCGAATGACTTTCCATTTGTCAAGTGAACGACGGCGACTTGGCTTCGGTAGGACAGTGTGAAGGGGACTTCTGTCAGCGAGATTGACCCGAGTTATTGATTAATTAAGAGCGAGATTAACCTGAATTATTGCTCAATTAAGAGCTAGATTAACCGGAAATGTTGATCTATTGCTCAATTAAGAGCTATAGACTAACCGGAGTTGTTGATCAGTTAACAGCGAGTTTTAACGAAATATGACGTGACGATGGAGCGGCGTTCTGGCCATCTGTCAGGCAATAACGGATTGGAAGGGCACGTGGTAAGCAAAGCTGGGCACGATAACGGGATATCAGCAAAGTGGTGTGGCTGTATCAGCAGCAGATGGCTTCGGAGGGACAGTCTTAACGGAGTGGGGGGGTATAAATTCACAGATCTCTATTCATTCAGCTCCAATCTCGATTTGAACTCAGGTCTGGATTTCAACAGTCTATGGGTGTTCCAACTGAGGGCATACTCACACAAGACCCTTCAAAATCGCAGAATCATAAAATCAGCGGCCAGATCGAGTCCCTGTGAAAGGAGGACCCGATCTGGCCGTTCATTGTGCGATTTTTCCATTTTGAGGCCCTACCGTCTTCACCCGAACAGAACGCCCGGTCATTATAGCCGTATTTGGCACAATTTTCAGTCCAGATGCAGCGATAATTGCCGGGCGTTTTATTCGGGTAACGACGATAGTGTGAGTATGCCCTGAGCTAGGCGCGTTGGTGCAGGGCGAGGCAGATCTCTATCATGCAGCTCCATCTGGATTCGAACTCAGGTCTGGATTTCAACAGTCTATGGGTGTTCCAACTGAGCTAGGCGCGTTGGTGCGGGGCTAGAGTTGATGATGTCTGGAGCTATGCTGATCTTGTGTGCCAGTGCTGTTACTTGGAATTTTTTTTAACGGTGGGGTTTATCTCGATGGATTTCACGTCCGGCCCCTTCTTTCCCTCTTGTCCTGCGCACCTTCCGGGCCTAAATGCAAGGTCATCCCCCCGTTCCTCCCTCCCTCCACTCCACCCCCGCTTCCTCTTCTGCACCCAAAACGTCATCCCCCACTACCCCTTCCCTCCCCCCCGATCCCTTGAGTGCCTTCGTGCACGCTCTTATTATTTGGAAAGCTTTCTCTGTATTACGGCGGCAGCTACTCAACAGCTACCTTCTCTGCTACCGTCTTCCCCCGAACACAACGCACCCTTATTTTGGCTGTATCTGGCCGGAAATATAGCTTGTATACATTCATTTTAGGGTGCGTTATGTTCGGGGGAAGACCGTAGCGCTAGATGTGCGACGAATCTCCCAGGCTTGAAGGACGCTTGTCCAGTAGTCCCTTGACTAATAGGGGTCGTACTGACGGCCAGATATTTGGGGGAAGCAGAGGTTCGTAGGATCTTTAATTACTGAACGTTTGAGTGAGCAGGCTTATCCCCCATTGGACCCCTCCATGGCCCAGGTAAATTAATTTAATATCATGCGGCCCGATGGACCATGGATCAGATATTAAACTGATTAGAACAGGTACTAAACTTGATCTTAGCCAGAAGGCCGATAAAGGAAGGTAGTGAGGGGTTTGTGGGGGTAGGCTTTCTTGGCTCTATGAAGCCATCCATCAAGCAAGCAAAGTGGAGGTCTCTCTCCTACACGCAGCTGGCTTCTGTTCCTTAATGCTCGGCTACCCCTCCTCGCCCCTCCGTCTTTCCCCCGTCTTCTTTAGTGCTTTTTCATCTGCACCCCCCTTTCCTTGCCACTATCCTGTCATTCACTCTGCTCCCAAGAGCAGATTTTTGATCTGTCGCTAGTGTCGCCTGGTTTAGGGTGGCATGGCTACTGGTCTTTCCCCAAACTCACCTGAACGACCAGTGTGCTGACTGTCTGGACAGGCAGGAATGCCAAGTTAGGCGACCTGTCTTGACTATTTGCCCAGCGCCTTCCAAATCACCACCAGCCTTTTACCAGTTATGCGCACTAGGACATGGAACTTCTCTTCTGTCTGCTTTGCTAAAGTTTCTTGAGACCTCTCTCTGAGCCATGCTTTACATATCGCGAGAGGAATGGGGCAGGCATGTGTCCAGCGCACTCAATCCTACTCTTTTGGCAAGTAGGCAGGATGGTGAAGAACATTGTCCATGGCTTTCGCCCTTGGTTGCCCCAAACAGCAATCATTTCTCTCCCCCCACTGCCGCTCTTACTGACAAGTTTCTACCTAACCGCTAGCTCTGCCAAACCCTTGTGCGGGGGATGCAAGTTGGATCCTGTCTCGTCTACATGCACTGTTTGCTGCATCTCTTCCAAACCCTTGTGCGGGGGATGCAAGTTGGGTCCTGCCTCATCTACATGCACTGTTTGCTGCATCGGTGTACCCAACTCCAGTACCGTTGGCGTCCATTGTTGCTGCTCCTGTATTTGTGCTGTGTCGTGGTGTACCCAAGTCCAGTACCATCTGTGCTGCTCCTGTGTTCGCTCTGGATAGGTGTAATCTTCAGCCTTCTCGTGAAGCTGCTTCAACGCGTAACCCACTTCATGAGTTTTGGCCACAACCTTTTGACTGGTACAAACATATAGATGACCTTTATAGATCATCTAATAATTTTTTTTAGCTTGTACAAACGTATAGGTGGTACTTCAAATAAACCTAAATGTCCTTCTAGTAAATGTAATTGACCCAATTCTAGATCACCCGCTGGACTCGTCTAACTATAAAAATACGTGATTGTTAACGAGTCACATAATCTGAATACTTGTTGATGTGCGGACGATACATCGAGAAGTTGCTGGACTAGCATTTCAAGAGACACTAATCATTTTGAGTACTTTAAGTAATAGGCTAACTTTTCAATTACGAGTAGAAATGTTCATCGGACGTATTATAATCTGAATAGTAGTGAACACTAATCATTGATATCCGGACGGTATGTGGAGAAGTTTCTGGACAAGCATTTCTTGAAACACTAATCGTTTTAATAATAGACTATAGTAGCTTCTCAATTACAAGTGGAAATGAGCGGATTATAAAATGATACATATCTTTTGCTTCCCTCCGAACCGTGCGTGCAAGATTTCCAAGCACATGGCTCTCCATCAGTTTGGCAAGACTACTGACTGTTTCCCTTCCATTTTCATGTACTATGGAAACTCTGACTTCACACTTCGTGCCGGCACAGACAAAAAAGTTGAAGGCGTTCCCAAATTTTCTTGGTAGAGGCAACTTCGTTGCACTTCGCTTCTCAATTACGAGTGGAAATGATCGGATTATAAAATGTTACATATCTTTTGAACAATTTTGAGTCTCGACTAATATGAGTAATTGAATTTAACTCCACTAGATTTAAAAAAAGAAGAGACGGTGGCGTGGATTGGAGATTCAAACTCAGTGGCGCGGATTGGAGATTCAAACTCGGTGGCGCGGACTGGAGATTCGAACTTGGTATTGCGTCTGTCATGCACAGCTTCTCGATGGTCAGATCAGGATTATCGTCAGCTGTTGCTGTGTTCACAGAATATGTTCCCGTTGAAGAACAGGGAACACATCCCCTCCTTGACACGTGATTCATTCTGTTCCATCAGTCTTGAATGCTGCAGCATTGCTCTGCACCATCATTGCGTGGGGAAATCCAGATTGCACTGTAGTCTCACCAACTGTATCATCTTTGACGAAATGGACTTAATGGTCTTCTGCTGTTGAAACATTGTCAATCATATATCACCTGAATCAGCTCTAGCGAAAGTGGGCTTGCAGGTGGGAAGGGAAACTCTGTATATCAGCTACTTTTTCTCTGGATATGTGGCTGTCCTTGTTTCTGTCCTTGTTTCGGTCTGGTGAAGTTGGCCTCACGAGCTGCTTCGTGGTGCCGACAGTGCACAGGCCCAGCCTTGCTGAAAATGTTTCGTCACCTGGTTGGAAAATGTTGGCGCCATCGTGCCATCGATTAAAAAGATTGGCAACCGGCATTGCGTTTCGCCGCGCCCGCAGCCGATGTGAGGCGTGTACTGTTGGTTTAAAGACCAAGAAAACCAGAAGATTAAGAAAAAGCAAAACCAAACCCCTACAGATCCTGAGCTCTATTCTGGGCAAACTGGCAAACCCAACAGTAAGTGGGATGAAGCCCATCCTGATTCAATTAGGAGATGCGAATTGGGACCCTCTCATTCGTACATACCTGAGAATAGGAACCAAGCCTATCAAGATCATGTTGTACCTGGAACATACTAATGGGATTAAGTCGCTTATGTTCGTTTTCAATAGAGAAGCGAAATCAAATGCATAGTGAAAGAGCACCTGAAAGGAAGAACATATATATCAAGGAGTGGTCCAATATGACTCCATGCAAGATGCAATTGAGTGTTAGCCGGCGTCGAGGTCATTTTTCTTATTTTTCTTTTCATTTGTCAGCCACAAGCCTGACAGGTGACCCAAATTTTCCTAGTGAAAGATAGATCTGGGATGAAAGAAATTGTTATCTTCATATCCCCCCACCTTTCCTTCCGTCCTGGTCTTGTCTCGTCGTTTAGCTTATAGTTTGCTCGCAGCAGTGTCTGGCAGAACCTCGAACCTAGCGAAGTGCATCAGCTGTGTATACTGCGCAGCGTGCCAGGGGCACTGAGAATAGAAATGAAGGAAAGGGAAAGAAGAACATAATCAGCTCTGATTGTCGACTATGCTCTTCTTGATGGCAGTGTTTGACTGGACTTTTTTGGCACATGGTGGACTTTTTTGCAGGTACCAATTCACGAGGGCCTTCATTATTGCGTTCTTCTTGACCTTCTTCTCGCTTTTCGATGTGCCGGTCTTCTGGCCTATTCTTCTTGTTTACTGGCTGGTGCTGTTCATCAGCTCCATGAAGCGCCAATTGGCACACATGATCAAGCACAGATACATTCCATTCTCCTTTGGGAAGCAGGTCAGTTCTATGTCGCCGTCACTATGGCCGCTAAGCGGCGTTGGCTGACTGATTTTGAAAGTTTCAAACCCTCTCATCTGCTGCTGTATGAGCATGCCAAGGATGTGGACACCTGGCAGGGCATGGGTGCGTTTGGCAGGACCGGGGTGGGACTCGGTGTTCTGATTCTTGTTGAGAACAATAATAATCTAAGAAGATCTTTTGGAGTTTGTTCTGCAGGAAAAGAAGTCGGAAAATAAATTTGGAGATGGTTGCGTTCAATGGGGAGCTGGATTTCACAAGTGACCTGCGAGCAGTTGAGGAGTGAATGGAGCCATGAATTTGTTTGAAGTAGCTCACTTTGTGCCAGAAAAACCTTTGTATGAACAGGTTCTTGTTTAATTACCTCATTCAGCTACTCTTGGATGGGGTATAGGACGTGGTGGAGAAGTTTTAACTTTTAATACATTTGCTTATTTCGTATCTGGTGTATAATGTGAGGTGCGTTCTCACGAGCAGTAGAACGATAAAGGAAAAGAATCGAGATGCCTGCTTATGTGAAGAGCACAAATATTGAAGGGAAACCGACACATCCCTCTTGGTCTTCCTTATGGAAGCCTTTGTATTTTTTGCTGCTCAGCAACTTACATACCCAGTGCTGTGTTCCTGCCAACCGTTACATGACAAGGCTCCTTGCCGAGCTGGATGTGGCGAGCCTTCTGATTGAAGTGGGGTTATAGTTGTTTTCCCAGAAACTGCCAGGTAGGTGAACCGGTGGGTCTGTCCTTTTCTTTGTAGAACTTTGCTTAGGATAAACCCCAAGACTCGTAAGAAGAGGCTCCACTGATGGGATGGGGAAGAGGAAAGAAAGGGGAGGAAAATGCGATAAACAAACGAGTCAGTGTTTTGGTCCTTAGCATTTGGGGAAGAATCATTCATGTTTATTTTGTTTACGTTAGTTACCTCGTGTAGGCTGTCTTGGTTTGTCTAACAACACAAAATGCCTTCTTGGTGGTTATTGCTCCTCAGTACAGGGCCATATCCTACTTACATGTCTGCAGCTCAAACCCTGTTGAGAAGGGTGGCTGGGGGATGGTACTTGTTTACCTTCTTTTGTATTGAATGTAAGATATATGAAGCAGAACAGGGCTACAAGAAAGAAATAAGAAAGATAAGGGTGGCTGGTATATGGGGTTGTCAGAGCTCTTATGCGACACACTAGTGGACCTGTTGCAGTATTGCTCAGAAGAGAGAGAGAGAGAGAGAGAGAGGGAATGGAGCAGCACCGAGTTGCCCAGAAAGTGGCACTCCGTGTGTGCTTGTGCTCCAAGGGAGATGTGGGGGGGAGGGCGGGGACACAAGGCGCGCACAACATTTTTGGGCATTGCCAGACAAGAGCGACAACTGACAAATTTCAAGCTTGGAGGGTGTGCAAGCACTCGAAAGCGCCATACACAATATTGGCCATTTTGATTGGCAGCTCAGTATGGGCGCTGGCTGCTACATTTACAAGACAGCCTAGATTTTTCGACTTTTCTGGGAGGTGAGGGATTACGTAAGGGAGGAGGTGACTTGATTGTAGAGGATATGGTGAACATTTGGTGCAGTTAGTTTGTTGCTTGTACCTCCCTGTCATCGGTAGCAAAGAGTGACATGCATTTAAGGAACTTGAAGAGAGTAGATGAGGATGTGCCGGTGGCATTAACGTGCTTTTGTTTGGTTGCTGTGTGTTTGTCTTTTAATTTGTGCAGAAGTACTCGGGGAAGGCAAAGGCACCAGGAAGTCCCCCGAAACCTGATAAGACTGGGTTCCGTGATTAGGGTGAGCCTATCAAGAGGTGCTTTTCCAGGGAGTAGGTAAGGGTGGGTTGTAACCGTCAGGATTTCGGTATGAGAGCAAGGAGTGTGAGAAATAGACGTCATGCGACATGTTGTCATTTCCAGCTGAGTGGGCAAAGAAGGTTTGGGCCTGCAATGGTAGATGTGAAAGAGGCTATATGCTTGCTGTCACACATATCCTGGAATTAGGAAGGTACTATTCCTTCTAATCAACGCAGCACAAAGTGAATGGGGGGTTTGAGCCGTTCTTCTCACTTGCACCCAAGAATAATTAGACCCTGCCTCAAAAATGACGGTCGCAGCAACATTCCCCTTTTCGGATTGTCACAGATATTGTGATAGATGTGACATCGGATCCTTTGCTGGATGGACATAGTGAGCTGAATGCTTGCTGTTGCCACTTCAGATTATTCTCTTTCCACACTTTGCCAAGGGTGGAGGTGTGTATGTGTGTGTGTGTGTGTGTGTGTGTGTGTGTGTGTGTGTGAGAGAGAGAGAGAGAGAGAGAGAGATGTATTCTTTCGTTCGTGTAGGTCAGCAACACTTCCGGAGGAAGGAGGGTAGTTTTTGTTGCCATGGATGGGAACAAGGGCCAAGAGGGGCTCCCAGCGGAAGGGAGAATGAGATGAGGGAGGAACTGTTTGCTGTGAATGGCATGAGCAAGTGATGAAGGGTGTGTGGAAAGTGGTTTGCAGTTGATATGCCTTGTCTATCGTTGTTGACACGGTTGTTCTACATATGCAAATTTGGGTCGACTTGGATGCGCAGTGGAGGGGCGGAGGCAAAGCAGAGTATTGGGCTATGTATGTTGTGCTCTCCAAGGCAGTTTGGAGGGGGGTTGGTGGGTCACTTTTTCATTTTCTTCTGTAATGTTTTGACGACTGGTGTCACGTGGGATGTTTCTATGTCAAGCTTGCAAGTCTTTGAGTCGGAAAGGGTATGCCTGTATGGTGCATCCCTGTTTAACCGTTGTTAGAGGTGCAGTAGCTAGCATAGGTCTTGCTTTTGAGTGTTGTATTAATTGCGCGCAAGGTGAAGGTCGTCTCGATCATTGTGAATTTGACGCTGATGGTAGCAAAGTTGAGAAAAGAGTGGTCGTCGATCTCCGAACCGCACTTGTCTGCATCATACGAGGATTATGAATTTGGGAATTACGACGGTAATAAGATGGTTCAAGCATTCTTCCATCAATGAATGACTCGCACATGAGAAAGAGTCGGAAGCAGAAACGGTCTGAGAGTGGCATCTGCCTGGGAGATCGTAGTGCCTGTGTTGGCCATGTCAGTGACAAGATCCACAGGAGATATGGTGCTCGGTGACAGATTCGGAGGAGAGATGCAATCCGTGCGATGAAGGGTTCAATCAATCCCTTGTGGTGGCATCATGAGGTTGGTTGCTTCTTCAACTTGGATTGATCATTTCGTACGTGGTTTATACTCTCCCTTAAAAAAAAGGAACAGCTTTTGCTGTGTTTCTTTTTCATGGTTGTGTTTTGCAGTGAGAGAACAGAGAATGCTATGCGTGAGGGTTGCTGCCGGTGCTGCTTTGGGGAAGTTTGTTTTCAAAACTGGCTTGCACTGTGGAGTCTGGCGATTGTGTTTCAAAATGGGTCCGTGCTTTGAGTTGGCGTCCTTGAAGCTTCTGCTGCTTTGAGGAAAGCTCGTTCCGGAAATTGCCTTGGTCTGAGGGTTGTGTTTCGCAATGGGTCGTGGTCTGAAAGATTCGGAAAGGCTTTTGTTGGAGGTTTATATTTGCAGTTTATTTGTTTTCTTTGTCTTTGTCTTTGTTTGCGCTTACATGCACGCAGGCCTGTTCCGGTTCCGGTTTATTTGTTTTCTTTGTCTTTGTCTTTGTTTGCGCTTACATGCCCACAGGCCTCTTCCGCGCGATGTCGGAGGTCTCAGACTGGAACGTCCGGGTTGCAGCGTGCAGAATTTTGTTGATTGAGAGTTGTCATATCAGGTCCATTACTGCGTTGATCAGAGGGGCAATGCTTTTTTTTTTTTTTTTTTTTTTTTTTTTTTCTCTTCCGAAAAGCAATGACATGGTCGCTGCAGTGAAGGTTTTTTATTCTTTCTGATAAATGAAAGTTTGGTAGTATTTATTATTATTATTATTTTAACCGGATGGCATGAAGGGTCCCACGGTGAACATGTTTCCTATGGTGGAAAGAGAGAGTCCTTGGCGTTCGCTCCACTACTCTCGACACGCACAGCGGAAGATTCACCCTCGTTCGGGACATTTCGAGAGTAGTGGAGCGAGGCCCTTTGTATGGATGTGGTGGAGGCTTGGGCACTCTTAGTGTGTTTACTTCAGGTGCTTGTTAGCGCTATGTTTTCTTCGCTGGGTTAGGCTGTGGAGAATGAAATTTCTGTTCTTTTTCTTCAGTCTTTATCATTGTTATATTATTATGATTACGGTATTCTTGAACTACCACTTGGCATGAAAGGGGGAAAAATAAGAAGGGAAACTGACACATTTTTCTGAGCCTGGGGGACCAACCCAAAAAGATACATGCCTACCAGTAGCAGCAGGGGCAACAAAATTCGGTCTTCTGTTGTTCGAGTTTTGTTTGGTCGTGCAGATCTTTTCAGCTTAAACCACCAATACTTGGCGCAGCTATCGGACGCGGCGCTTCCCCGTTAATGCGCCGTGGCTTTAGGCTTTGGGGTACCGGACCGCAATGGCTGGAAGTGCCAGCCAAAAAGAAAATTGAAACGGTACCCCGACGTTTCGGCAAAAATTGGCGCGCAGGGGCATTCCAGGCTCGACATCGATAGCTGGGCCAAGTGCTGGTGGTTTAATCATTTTTTCCTGAAAATATCAGCCCTCTATTTATGTTTCTGTTTTTCCTAGTTTTTTGTAAAAGTTTGTGAGCGCGAAAAATATTAGAAGCCTGTGCTGCAAGGAACCATGCAAATTTCCTGAATGTGAAATCACAATAGAAGAACGACCGTGGTGGAAAAGCCGAGTTGAAAGCAGAATACCCCAACTGAATTCACACCTATTAGGAGCAAAGCCCAACTTTTTGCGTCCGATCATCAATGCCACAACAATGCAGTAGCCATACTGTTGTTGTGTGACTGGCCTTCTCTGGTTTCTTCGACCTCTGCACACACTCTTCTCTACCACCTCACTCTGTGTCCTCAGTGTCACTTGTCCGATGTTGCTTGATGACTCTGCGCACACAGACTTCTCTCTACCACCTCACTCTTTGTCCTTGTGTCGCTCGTGTCCGATGTTGCTTGAAGACCCTGCTCACACAGAAGGCTTCCACCAACAACACCAGCCAGGTAAGAACCTAGTTCCCACTGCCTCGCTTCTTGAACAATGGCTGGCGCACACTCACAGCCGTAGAAGCTGCTGCCGCTCTCCTGGCTAGTGCTGCTGCCTTGCAGCAATCTGCCCGCAACGTGTTTCGCCTAGCAGCCTCCTAGGTCGTCCTGTAGTGGAGACCGCTTCCAGACCCAGTTGGGGCTGAGTTCAGGTCCCACCCTCCGTAACTAAATCGTAGCCTGGGCCTATCAGTTAGCTACAGAGCCTGGCACCTCAGTCCAGCTTTAAAAGACCCCTGCTCGCCTCACTTAGTCACGGCGACACTTTCTCAGGCCTGCCTTCAGTTAAGGCGGCCTGGACCATTTCTTGGCGGTTTACTAGTAGGGCCACGGATGCTTGAAGCCATGCATTCACGACCGCTTGGGTTTGAAAGTCCCAAAAAACACTTCACACTTGCCGTTGCTTTCCCTTCACAGCCCACTGTGTGTGTGTGTGTGTGTGTGTGTGTGTGTGTGTGTGTGTGTGCTCTCATATTGCAGAGCAACTGGGGTGCAAGCTTCGTCAGTTCCCCTCTTGTGAACCACCACCCTCGCTTTGATGCAGTTGATGTCTGAGAGACACTCTGCGCTACTGCATCTGTGGCTTGTGCGATCTTCCCCTTCCCTGAGGCTTTGCAAAGGCAGCCCTTTGCACAAGCCGGTCGACGTTAAGGTGTCCGTCCGTCCATGGTCAGGGGCGGCATTGATCATAGAGAAGGAAACTGATGGTAAGGGGCAGCATCGATCATAGAGAAGGAAGCTGATCACTTTGGGAGACGGGCAGGATTTTGGAGGTACGGAATATTATAAAATTAAAGAAAAAAGATCAAATTTGTGTCATGCCCCTCGAAAGTCCCATTTATTTGTGTTGCACCGTTCTGTCATGCCGCTGGAGCCACTGAATTTTTCTGCTAGCCGCTGTCAGCAGGGTGTGCAACTGTTTGGGACACCCTTTCTGGACTGCTGGTTCCATTGCACCGATCCCTCCACAATATGTCCCTCATGTGGGGCATGCACCTTGCTGTCACGCCCTCGCAGCATTGACGGCAAATTTGATGCACCACAAATTTGAATTTCAAGTACGTAGTTTTTGATGTCCCGCTGTGGAAAACGCGGCTGCATAGTTTTCTCCGTCTCGTCGTGATGATGGCATTGGTGTGTTTGATAAGGCTGAGGCCTGGACCGTCCATAGTTTTTGATGTCCTGCTGAGGAAAACGCGGCTGCAGTCTCCGTTTCGTTGTGTGATGATGACATTGGTGTGTTTGATAAGGCTGAGGCCTGGATGTCGACGGTCCCTGTTCTTCGGACGCCTCGGCTCATCAGCCCGCCGGTCTCTCTTCATCGCACAGGTTACGAGGTTCGAACATATCTGTAACAATACTGCGGACTTCAAAGCTGCAGTGGCTTCCCTGACACGGCGTTTGCTTGTTGGGGGGCATTCTCCCAGTGTCCTGGCCAGAGACTGGACTGTGTATGCGGGTGCCCGGCAGCCCTGGCTACGCACTTATGTCGCACAGCTTCTGGACTGGTTTCACTGCATGGTGCCGCATGCTATTTCGGCACACAGGTCCTCCACACAGCCACACACAGCAGGCCACACCGCCCACCCTCGAACATGAATCTTGACCACAGGCAGCAGCTGCATCCGTCTCCTGTTAGTCCTGCTGAAATGGCAGATGCAAATGTGGATATGCCAGCTCAGCCGGGAACCAATATGGCAACTGCCTGCTTGAAATTGCACGGCCACCTCCCCCTCCACCACCACCGACACCCCCCCCCCCCCCCCCCCGCCCTCCACCACCTCCTTCTCGACATCTCGGACATCATCATCCTATCAGTCGTCTGCCCTTCTTGCTTATCCTCTTCGTTTCTTAGCGGCCTCCTTCCCCCTCGCATGCCTCCCCTTCGTCATTGACCTTGTCATCAGCACATTCGTGGTCAGATCAGCTGACGTGTAGGCTCCTTTGGCAGAGGCATCCAGCATAGGATCGACTGTTAGATGTCAACGTCGCCTCCAAGACAGCGGCCTCGTTTGTCCTCGAACGACGCGATTACCGCACCCCCTGCAGAGGCTAGAGATCTACTCTGACGACATGCCCGCAACCGTATCGAATGACATTGGCATTCGCAATATACACTAGCCAGGTATAGAACATATCGAGTCTGATGCCCACAATGTCACGATGATTTCTTCAGTGCTGCTGGCGTGTGAGTGCACCAGACAAGGTGCAGCTACTTGCGCAGCATCTTCATGACTACGTAACAGGCTAGCAGCCACTACGAGCACAAGTGCAGCTGATCAACGTCCGCATCCGGCATCTGACAAGCCTATTCCTCATCTGTGCAACTCTGGCTGCTTCCCGGCCCCAAATGACAATCATCCACCTTCTGATCCCCTGATGGAGACCCCCGAGTCGAGGTGATTTTTTCTACACTGAGCTCATGCTGGATCCAATGGATTTGATACAGCCCGAGGAACTGGACAGAAATGGTAATCTCCGCCTGCCGTACAATTTGCAGTATTGGACGAAACTTTCCCAGCCACGCAACCTGCAGAATCTGATGATGGCACAATGCTCTACAGTGAGGCTGCTGTTCGTACGATGCCATTAATGTTCGTCTCCTTGCTTACAATTGCAACCCGTATACTGTTTATGATTTTGCAGAAATCAGCTATCTGGTATTAAAAAAAATAATAATAATAATAAAATCAGCTATCTGGACAATCGAATGGCCCAGTTACTGTGGGTGACTGTCTCATCTATTTAGTATCCCACCTTTGCAACAACCTGGGCTTGAAAGAAAAAGAAGAAACGGGAGCACCGTGCCGTCTGCCCCTAGGACGATGATACGGCACCTGGCGATGTCTACGGCATTTATGGGTAAGTCGAATACAACTCCAGCCTGCTCCTCAAAATCGTGCACTGCCAAGCATGAATACGAATATTTGGGCAGCCAAAAGACGTCCAGGCATGAACATGAATGTATGGCATTGACGTGAAATTTAAGGTCTGTGTTGCATACAAAAGACATCCTCGATCTGAAAAGCTTCAACTTCCAACAATCATAAATCAGCAACCAAATCCCTATCAGAATCAACTCGAAGTGCTGGAAAGGGAACAATAGCTCTCAGACTTCTTTGGAGAACGGTACGTCTACACATTGGACAGGCCAGGGAAGCACACAGCAGGCTCGCACAAACTAATCTGGTGGCCAAAGCTATACAATGTAGCAACACACGTCCATCCCCAAAAAAGGGACGGTCAAAAAGGGAAAGTAAGAGAGGCAACGGTCAAAAAGGGAAAGTAAGAGGGGCAATGGTCAAATAGGGAAAAGTAAGAGAGGCAACGGTTGACAATAAAAGAAAGAAGGGAATGAGGCAGCAAATAGGCCAAGTACAAGAGAGGCTGTGGACAGACAAGAAATACTACTGGCTCAGATCAGTCCTCTAGGATAGCAATAGAGAAACAGCAGCAGGGAGAACAGTCGAACCGTCAAAGCACTGGGACGAAATGCAGAAATTTTCAGAGCAGCCAAACTGGAGGCCAAGAGCGGTTGCAAAAAAAAGTGATCATACGATAGCGATGGGAACAACAGCATGGAGATTGGAGAATTAGCAAGTACAAAAATTCCTGATCCATGATGGCCCTATCGGGCCCTTGATGA